AGTTAGATATTCAACTCACGAGAAGTTTCACCTTGTTCACTCACAGCTATGACCTACTGCTTCTCTACAATGGCCGAAAATCAAAATAAAAATGTTACAAAACATAAAAGTATACTTTAACTTTCATGTTCTTTTGAATTTAACTATGGTTTTCACTTAAAAATTTAAAAATATTATGAATGTTGGGAAAGAATGGGAAAATTGTGACCATGAATTATCATTGTAAACATGAGAAGAAAACAAAAACAAAATAACATATGTGCATGAAATCCGAAATGTAAATATATGTTATATGGGTGGCATGCACTTGGATTAAGGAGAAGCAATTGATTGTCCAGAAAGGAGATAAAAGACAAGAACGACAAAAATATGCAAAATCAATCAAACTCCGATTCTGTGCATGTTCTTTCAACAATGGATAGTCAAAGTTTCTGTTTATTTTTAAACCCTTTTTCGCTTCCTCGTAAAGTTGAAAACCTTATTAGACTTATAGTGTTTACTGTAACAATCACTCTACTTAAGTAAATAATTATTCGACTATACTGTTTGAATAATTTTTTTTCATTGCATTATTCAATCACTTTTGTAATTTCACGGTGTAAAAATAGCATTATGAATTAAAAAGACACTTTTCGATATGACACTTGGATGATTTTGTTCTATGCTTCTGTAATTTGAATGTTTGATTCTCTTACATAAACAAAAACCAAGCATTTTTCATCGTCAACCGTGTTAGACGGTGATTTAATGGTCTAAAACAAATATTTTTCCCCTCTATTTGAAGAAGGGGATTCAAACAAACCTCTGGTAAAACTGAAAGACGAATTTAACAAAAATACAACATGAAAGCAAATTCTTTGCTTTGAGATTGAGAATAAATACATACAGTCACACAGGCATTTTACACCCATGAAGATTGAAAGGCATCACGCCAAGTGACCCGAACCATTTCTGAAAATCCAAATCCGTTAACGGCCTCTTGTTTCTTAATGTTTTTTTTATCCATATTACCTTTTAAGGTTGCTTAATTCATAATTTAGCCCTTAAAATATACCTATTTTCCCACTTGGTACCTTAAACTACCATTTTCGTCCTAATTTACTCAAAAACAATTATATATCCAAGAATAGCGGCACATGTCACATTCTCATTGGTTGTTTTTTTATTTTGGGTAAAATGGGCTGATAATTTTAGTTTAGGGGGTAAATTGGGATAAAAAATAGTTTAGAATGCAGAGTGAGAAAAAGAGTATACTTGAGGAGCTATATTGTAAATTAAGCCTTCTAAGTTTTAACGCTGTCCCTACTCCCTTCTCTCTAAATCCAATCCGGTTCCCACGAAACGATAGGCATTTTGCTTTGAACATCTCCACATTTGCAGGAGTAATGAGGCCATATCTGAACTAGACTGCCACCATCAGCAACTCCTCCATATTTACCATTTTGCCACCACTCCCATTTCCTTTCCCCCATGACCTCATCCTCTATTGCTTCCAACCAAATACCATCGTCTCCAAAAGCCGAAATCTCCTTCATATCCCCAAAAACTAATTAAAATTAAATCATTGGGAATAAAATTATTATTTCTTTCTAAAAAATGCTTTTTCACAGCAAAAGTCCACAAATTTTAATTTCAGAAGTTGAATGGAAAAACTTTTTTAATCATGATTTTAGAATTAAGTTTTATTGATGGATTTAGCCCATAAACACTTTCACTGCCTTTTGAAAAGTGAAGTTAGAAAATAGGAAGTGCTTGTGTATTCCAAGGCCAATCCGGCCATCTAACTTTAATGATTTTGATCTTGTTCTTGCAATGGACAAGCAAAATAGAGGTAGTATTAATGGATTTAGCCTTTGTTAAAGTCTTACTGGGTTTAAACTATAAAATTGAATTCTTTGGTGTTCTCTCGCTTTTGATTCCTCATTTTCGCTTGTGTTGGTCATCTGTGTAGTGATAATTTTATTGCATGCAGAGGATGCATTAGAGGCTTTCAATAGGTGGAAATCCAGAGACCAACTTCCCGCTGATGCATATAAAAAGGTTTGTAGAATATTAAGAGTGAAAACTATCAGTCAATTAAGGGGTGGCTTTTTCATTCTGATATTTCTACTGGTTATACTGAGGTGCTCTTATTGTAAAAAACACGACGAGACGGAAGCCCCGGATCCATACTGTGGTGGACCGCAAGGTTTCGAGAAGGTAATGTACAGTGATTTTTCATATTTAAGGTAGATTATAAACATTTACATGGGAATCAATTCATCATGTGTTTCTTTGCATATTTTGGAGCCCGGACAACTTTCATTAGAGCTTTGTGGGAAAAGTCATGGCATTGAGAGAAGGAAGAAACATGTGGATCTGGTGAAGTACGGTGATGTTTTGTTATCTGAAAAGGAGAAAAAGGAGAAGAATGAAAGATGTAAAGGAGGAAACTGAAAGTTCTGTTTGGAAAAGTCACTTCTTGTTATAGCTTTCCTTTGTTGCCCAGACTGGGAACAAGTCTGTCGAGTGTGGAATATAGGTATGTGTGTGTCTACATGTTAATTATAAGGTATCAACACACAGGGATACGACTATATAGTATAGATGATTGGAAAGTTGGTACGTCTTGAAATTGATACTCTGCTGTTAGTTCTTGATTAGTTAAACGACATCAAGTAATGTCGTCTTTTTGTTATCTTACTGTGCGTTCCATGTTCCGATACCATTCCGCAATTTATGATAATATTTACATTCTGCATACGAACAACATTCATGGTTCCAAATCACTAATGGACGACATCTCGACGAACAACAACAATATTCATGGTTCCTAAGTTTCTACTTGATACTCTGCATGTATTTAACTGTTTCTTCTTTTATTTATGTATATTCTGCACAAACAATGCTCTTGAAATTTCACCGATGAAATAATTTCTCGATAATTACATCAGAAGTTTCGCTACTTCTCTCTACGTATCAGTTGTCTTTCCTTTTCCAGATGAAGAATCAGCTTAAAAGGCTACCTTCTGAAACTTGAGACATTTTATGATGTTAAGATGAAAAGATCAAATGTCAAACAAGTCACCTTTATTTTGAAAATAAATAGGGAAAACCCCAAATTCCATGACATGATTTGTTTCGATAATCGAAATAACAAGTTTCAACTGATTGACTGAACCTAAAGCAGACATTTAAATTTTAGGTTCGATTCCGAGTCAACTAATTGACTAACTCTATCCCTGTGAAAGGCTTTCCAGCATGAAGTTGTAAGGCAACATCACCAACAACCTGAAATTAGCAAAATATGGGCAGCAATTATACTCGGAGATCCACATTAAACAAATAAAAAAACAAGCAATCACAATGATGAAGATGAAGAAACATGTGAAATACCTTAAACCCCTGCTTTAGTTGGATAAATTTTACAATTCATATGCTAAGTTTCTTCATTTTCTCGGCTTTAAAGCCTTTACAGTGAAAAATTAAATTCATGTTACTTTTAGAAATCTAAAAGTATAGATAAGATGTATACCTTCGACATGGTTCTGTAAGAATGTTCGGTAACCCCGGCAACATGAGGTGTAAGTATAACATTCTTGAATTTCAAAATGGGGTCATCAGGTTCAAATGGTTCTCTCCAAGCAACATCAGTTCCTAAGCCTCCCAAGTGTCCCAACTCGAGATAATGCACAACTGCCTCGTAGTCTAGAAGAGCTCCTCGAGCAACATTTACCAAAAGGGCTCCCTGAAATCATACTATTATTAGCACAAACATCCAACAACTTAAACCATGAGTGCAACTGTTTTATTAGAAAATTAAACATGAAAATTTATAAAAGAGAGGTGGTATATAAATATATGCTATGAAAACATGCGTTTTGAAAAAAGATTTATGCCGTTTAGTTTCATGTTTTCATAGCTATGATTGCACCTAAAAGAAAAACTATGACAGTTCTCTCCTAAATTTTGGAGTGCATTTGAAACAAACCTTTTTCATTGAAGATACGAAGGACTTGTTCACAATGCCAACCTGAAAATTTAAAATATCCCAATTGAATGAAATTTGCTTGGAGATAAGTTTTGTAGTTTTACCGTTTCTTTGAAAGCGTATATTTCAAGTAAAAAAGGAAAAGAGAAGCCTTACTGTATCTTTATTCAAACTCAAGCAACAGACAACTATATCGGCATTGCTTGCAAACTCATAAATATCTCCATGAATTCCTTTCTTGTCAATCAAATCATCAATGACCTCGTTTTGACTTGGAAAAGCTGAATATTCAAGATCATAATGAATGAGAATGCCATTGCAACTGAGTTTCACTATTTACTTAATAAATCTTCTATACCTTTTGGGGTAACAACTTCCAGACTTGAGGGCCAGCTCCTTTTTGTAGCAATAACTTTAACACCAAATGTTTTCAGGCGCTTTGCCAATTCAACTCCAATATTTCCAAATCCCAGTATAAAGATCTGGACAAGCAGGTTGACTAGTGAAAATTAAACTAAAAAAGTCATGGAAACAATTATTTGAAACATGAGAGCATCATATTAAGATTTCATTGCCTACAATATCGAAAAACGAGATCATCAAACCAACATTTCATTTCCACGAAAAAGAAAAAGAAAAAGAAAACAAAAACCGAAGAGTCTAAATAAAGCTTAAGCTCATAAATACAAATGTTTGAAGAAACAAGTTGAAACAGATTTTTTTTTATAGAAGTTGGACGTCTCATTAAAAACTCCCTTCGTATTCTTCCACATACTTAGAAGTATGTTGAAGAACATTGGAAGGAAGAAAAGAGTGCCTCATATTTTATTAAACATAATACCAAGTACATATGGTAACACCGAACCCTCATACAGGAATAAAAGCCATTACAAAAACCATATCACCTAAACAAGTTGAAACAGATTGATTCTCATAGTCCTTTACTATGTTTGAATAAACAAATTGAAACAGATTGATTCTCTTAGTCCTTTACCATGCACAGATAGGATCAATGCTAAAAAATGCCACCTTAAGACATTGCCAGTTCCAAGGAAAAAATGCAAACCAAATATAGCAACAGAGTATTGATTATGCCCAGCACTCAATGTCAAATTTCCTATCACAGTCTCAGGGATTGGAATCGGGTTATACTTATCTCTTTTTCAGAAAATGTTGGTCCTTCTCATCCCTATTTAGCAGAATTGAAAGCTGTTAAAAGAGGCATTGATATCTTTGTTTCTTCAGAATGGTTGTTCAAGGGCAGACTCATTATTGAATGTGATTGTAAGCTGGTCGTGGATTGGATCAAAGATCAAGCTTTGGTTCCTCTTTCCCTTTCAAATTTTGTTAAGGAAATTGTATCTATTGTTTCTTTTAGAAATTTTATTGTCAGGTGGATTCCAAGGTCTTGTAATTGTGAGGCTGACAAGCTAGCAAAAGAGGGGATCGGGTGATTTTTTTGTCTGTTTCAGTTGGTATCTGTTTCTGAGCCTAGAAGCTAGAGGAGTGTGTGAGGTCTTATGTTGTATGTAAAAGTGTTTTTAAGTCTTATGTAACTTGGCTTTCATTAATAAATTGAGGTACTCTTTTCCTCCTTCCGCTAGTTGGGCCTTACCTTACGGATAAGGTCCACTAAGAGGGAGGTTTTTAATGAGACCTCCTATTCCTATCAAAAAAAAAATTCCTATCACAGAAAATATTTAGTTTCATGCCTGAATCCAGGTCAAATTATTGCCTCTTTTGCTGTCTTCTTTTGACATGACACTAAGAAAACTAATTTGCATTAACTGTTATGCCATAATATGGTAAAGCTTTTATTTTTGTTTTCAATTCAGTCGGCCTGATCCTGATATAAGCAAATTATGAAGTTCAAACATTCAGTCATCGAGTATATTATCAGTGACAGTCACCATGAAAACTGAAAGAGAAGCCACATGTCTAAATTCCATGAAAAGGTTTTCAAGCAAGAATCTCAAAGTAATGTCGAAGGAAAGGGAAAACTGAAAAGATAAAGTAGAAACTGACAGTTTTCCCAAGAAGTGTGTCCCCAACAGGCTCTCCAAGCATTTTCTGCTTTACAGATATTTGCATCTCATTCTGCAACACCACCACAATCACTCAGGTCATCAACATATTATGTATCAAGGACAAAAAACAGAACATGAATGTTAAAGTTAAGGTGTCATGTGAATACATGCATCAAATACTTCAACTTACAGACAGGAAAGAATAATGCAATGAGCAGAAGCACCAAGATAAACTGGGGGATCCAATACAATGGTAACAAGAAACTGAAGAGAAGAGATGGTAAAGAGTTGGAAGTGAAGGATATGAAGTAAATTTGGTGAAGCTTAGCATATAGAATTGACTGAAAGGGATGGCAATCTTACTGGAAAATGAATTTTTAATGTAGTGGGTACTGAATGCAAAGAACAAAAAACTATTTAAACAAACAAAAAACTACAAACATGAGTTGCAGCCTATCCAAAATGCAAGTTATGACTGCATTATTTAATTATTCTTATTACAATATTAGCGAACGACCTCAATTTCGAGGCTTGATAAAAAATTTCAGGGAGTAGGAATGAAGACACAGCTAGTCTAGCAGTCAATGGCCATAGATCTCATAACAGTTCATAATGGTATTGTCCTCTTCCACAAGTTGCTTAATCTACTACATTTTGATCATGGTTTATTAAAAATGATAAACAAGTTCCATTGCAAAGTATCTTTCATGCATTTTTAACCCAGATACAGCTTTCAATTGTATGCACAAAACAGACAAATAAGGGAACATAGTGAACTAATCTCACAATTAACATGGAATCAACTATTTTTCATGTTTAACTACAATCATATGAACATATTAGAGAAGCAATGCAATTCTTAAGTTATTAAATTAAATAAACCTGTTTCCTAAGAAGGCCCAACATTAGATATATAGCCATTTCGGCACAAGATGCAGCATTTCCAGTAGCACCACCAGGAATTCTGGCAACTTTTATCCCATGCTTTGTAGCAGCGTCAATATCAACACCTTCATGCCGAAGTATGAAAAATGAAAAATTAATTCAGAAAATGTAATATGGAAAAAGCTTTAAGCTAAGAATATATTATCGTAATAAAAGAATAAGGACCTTCTAGGCCAACGCCAAACTGCATTATAAGCTTCATCTGTTTTGCACGAGATAAGACATTTGAATCAAACCGCATGTTTTTTGCAACACAAAGATCATAGTTCCCAATATGATCAGGAACTTGCTCGAGGGGCAATTCATCAACCTAAAAGAAATTCAATTTAAATTAAAAAACGCAAAAGGTACAACTCTGTTAGAAAAAGGAAAAACAAGGAACATGTTTGGCTTGTTTCAGACATTGGAAAAAGAAAAAACAAGAAATATGTTTGGCTTGTTTCAAACATTAGTGCATGTTTGGTTTAGGATAGTGCTTTAACATTTATGCAAGTGCGATTCTATAACCAAAAAGTACATAAACAGGACAATTTGAGCGAAGTACTTGGATAAAGGGATACTTCTCCAAGTATTCTCTAGTATAATTTTGTGAAGCTGGAAAATGTGGTCCGCAAAAGAGAACCCGAGTGATGGGTTTGTTGTTGTCTACATCGTTCCTCTCTACCACTGAAGACATACCTGCACTGAAGGACCTCAAAATAAAAAGAACAAATACTTTAGAACATAAGAAGGCAAAGCAAAATATAGATCATTAAATGCATCCAAAATTTCTTGAAGCATTTCTCTATCTAAATGTCTAACCATCTACTGTAACAAAGGCTAGAGAAACTGTCTTCCGAGAAAGTGATGTGAAGTAGGGTATGTCTGCCAAGACGCAATCTTACACCAGAGACAACGCGTATCTAATAAACATTGATTTCATCAGGTGCTACAGTTTGAAGCAATCGTAGAACCATTAACATACTTATATACTACCTGTCTAACTACATAGCAAGGGTAGCTGGATGAGGAAGAGAATAAGTACTCTCACTGCATATCCAATGATGGTTAGCACACGATAATCAATGAAAGTTTGCACCACAGTCTCACAACAAAATAACATTTGATTTCATAGGCCTTAACAGAGTAAAACAGAATACCTCAAGGGGCAATCTCAATTCTACTCTTCAGTAATTCAAGTATTGTTGAGTATTTCTAAGAACAAAAGTGCAAATTAAAATACACTCTTTCCCATTGAAAACCAAAGACCCCAAAAGTCTCGTGAATCTCAAATTGAACTCCAGAGAACCTTGTGTTCTTTTTTTTTTTTCAAAAAAGAAAACCCAACCTTATCTCTTGCTGTTAGCAATATGATATGGTTACAATCGGGTTAAAATTACATGAGGTAAACTTGTATTCGTCCTTTTTCATTACTATTTACTTTACTCTACATCCGGCTGCTGGACTGACCTTATTCGCTAACATACAATATTACTTCGTATAAAGAAATCAAAATTGTTTGTATGAGGCACGGTTTCAGAAATGAATAATAACTGATATTTCTACAGATTTTCTCTGTTTTCTTTCATTGCTTCTAAAACTTCCAAATGATGTTCTTGTTAACTTATTACTAGTATACAACAGGGGAAATAATAAGAGAGATTGGGGAGTGTAAAGATATAAACATACTTATACACAACAACTGAAGATTTTGTGGGTTTTACCTGTGAAGAAGTGATGATGAGAAACAAGGGAGACCCTGAACCAGATTTTTTGCGCCTGCTAACGCAATCTGTCTTTTAATACAGGAAGCGAGCATCTCAATTTAAACTATGAATCTCCTTCTTTTTCAGCCTTCACATCAACAACTTATGTTTTTTTTTTATCAAATAAATCACCAACCACTCAGCGTAAAAGACGACGCCCTCAATATTTTTTTTTGGGTTGGGGGTTGAAACAAACTACAGTGACTCACTATTGTTCGTTTTTATTTTGGTCATTAAATTATTTGTTTATTATTTTATTATTTTAATTCTAATTTTTATTGAAAATTAATTAAATTATTTATATAGTAATATATAATAGTAATTTTAAAATTTAAAAGTTATATATTTTATCAATATTATCTTAATATTAAATAATTTATAAAATTTAATTTTAATATTTAAAAATCTTATTAATTTACTTTTTAAATACATTATCACCATCATTTTGCATTAACCACAAGATTAACCAGGCTGTTTCGGTATTAGATAATGGTGATGTGGGTTAAATTTGGAGAAAATTCTAACTAAATCGATCTCAATCCGACCTGAAACCAGCTCACCGGAGGAGTACACGGCATTGGACAAACTTGAAAATTGAAAAATATATCATTCATGAAACGTTCTTCCATAACAGTTCTCTGAAATTATAAGAAAATACTTGTGCAATAAAAATGAAAAAAATATTTAATTCCTAATAAAAATTATTTATTAAGATAGCACTATTTAATGACCGAATTATTCAATCTATACATTTAATTGCGATATGATATTTTTTATCCAAATAATTATAAAAATTATTTATTAAGATAGCACTATTTATCAAATAATTATTAAAATAATATTTATTTATATCACGTGTCAATATATTTAAATATTTTTAATAAAATATACATTTCTATTAAATAATAATATTTTATCTGAATAGTTAAGATTTATATTAATAATCGTTGGATTTTGAATTCAAAATTTTAATTTATAAGTACTTGTAATTAAATGTGTTTTTGTCATTAATATAATATGGTTTTATTGACTGGATATTATTTGTTAAATCTATTTTTGGGTTTAAATCTCGAGATAATTTTTATTTAATCTCATTAATTTAATTTTCTTTATTAGCATGAGATAAATATAATATAATACTTGTTAAAATATAACTCTGAACCATTTGATATTGAACGTTCATATTGTTGACATTTTTTATGTTCGAATTTGATACATCAAAGAATAATAACTATTCATTTACTAACGAGTCACTTGGTTCATGCTAATTTAATTTAAAATATTCTTATATATATATATATATATATATGAGCACATTTTTATAGTTAAAAATTTAAAATTATATTTTTAATAAATAAGAGATTGACACTTAAATCTTAAAAAATAATGTAATTTCTTTTCATTTAAAATAATAAGGGTAAATTATATTGATGATCCCTTTTTTTGATCTATTCTATTTTGGACACCTACATTTTGATCACTCGAATATTAACCTATGTTAAATTATTAAAGTGACACGTTAATAAAAAAATTTAATTTTTAATTTAAACCCTAAAATTTTAAACTTTTACTTTTTACCCTTTCTCAAACAAAAATAATAATAAATTCAGGATATGCCCTGTGGTACATCCGTGTGATTTAATATGTTTCATGATCATGGTTTGTAATATAATAGACGAATATCGAAAGCATGCCTATTTCATGTGAATTAGGATCAAGATGCTTAGCAACCAAATTATTTGACTCACTTGGATCCTCATGAGTATTTGCAATCCCATGAAAGCTTTCAGTAATATAATTTGGAAATCAGACCATATTTTAGTCAAAGCCATCTCAAATAAACTGACATCTGCTTCTGAATTTCTTACCTGACCACCCAAGGAAACAAATCCATCTTGGGGAATATTGAAAAACGAAGACAAAGTTTTATCTCCACCTATAGCAGTTCCTCCAAAAATAAATCACCAGAAAAAAATAATAATAAAAAATAATTAGAACCTTTTACATTTGATATGAAATGACTAGAAATATTAGTATATGATTGTTACAAGATAGTATTTATTTAAACAAAATTTAGTCGATTGAAATTGAACATATACACATCTTGTTCGAATTCAGAATCTTTAAGAAAAATATCAATTTTTATCACTGGAGTCGCTTAATAAGTAATGAGATGACTAGAAATATGAATAGAGAGATTCTAATCATACTACTAATCTCCACAAGACAAGGTATTATCAATTTTAACAAGAAGCAAGAACCAGAGTGCCATACTATTGGGAGCATGTTATATGACGAGAAAAATAACCTTAAATTATCTGGTTTATAAATTAAGTTTTTAAAAGTTATTATATGTAATCAATAATTTTTAGAATAGATGATTAAAATTCTCGGTTGATACTTTTTATCTTTACTAGATTATGAATTCAACGACTGTATGGAGCTTGATTCCTTCCTATAGTGTCTGGTTCTATGGAGTCTCTTGCATACGACAACACCCAGCTTCAGCTTTCCAAAAACACAGAGGATTTATCTCAATGAAAATGATTACAAAACAGCTTTATAAACCAATCTAAAGCATACAGATAAACAACCCCAGAAGCTAAAAAGAAAAGGAAAATGAAACCTTTTTCATCCATTTTGCAAAAAGAACAAAAATAGTAATCTATTTTCTGGTTTGGTGTCGTGTAAGTTTGGTGCAGTAACAGGGCATTAGCGGGTTAAAAGCTTAGGGGTTTGGGCAATAGACGTGCGGCGACTTATGGCGGTGGTAACTGTACGAGGAGGCGGCAACAAAAACAAGAAAAGAGAGAATTTTTTATGTTTCTTTTTTTGAAAAATGATGAAAAAAATGAATTTTTAAAATTTAGGATTTGAATTAAAAATTAATAATTTTTATTAATGTATCAGATCAATAATCTAATGAAGGTTGATGTTTTATTTTTATTTGGATACTATGTCATTAAGATTGACTTTTGATTTAACAAAAATGATGATATGATATAATATGATATAATAATAATTTTAATCCTAAAGCTTTATCTTTTTATCAAATTGGTCATAATTTAAAATAACTTGAAAAATTTTAAATATTTAAAAATTGTTATTAAATTATACAATATATTAATAATAAATTATTAAATTGGTTCAAATTAGAATGAGGAACAACTTGGTAAGATTTTTAAATATTGATATTCTATTAAGTCATTTTGAAATATGTCAATTTAATAAAATATGTAAGTTTTGGAGATTAAAATTATTATTAATTTATTATAGCAGATCACATCATCGTACTACCATTATTTTTCAAAAATAACACAACACTAACGTTTAAATGTTTTGTAATTCATACTACAAAAAATGTAACACTTAATATATACTTATACCAATGTAAGTGAATAAAATAAAAACTGATGTAAGTGAAGAAAATAAAAAAGTATAACACTTAACATATACTTACACCGGTATAAATATGTACATCTCCTAATATCTTGGTGCATGCCAATAAACACATAATTATATTGGTGTAAGTATTTTTTATGTATTTTCAAATAAATAAAAAATAATATATATATATATATATATTAAATTATTTGTGTACAAATTTTATTAAAAATATATAAATTTAAGATTATGATTAAAATTTACTTCAAATTCTATTAGCATTTTCTCAAAAAAGTATAGTTATAAATTTAATTTTTTAAACGATTAACCGTTTATCAAAATTCATAAATGTAACCTTAACTGTTAGCTATCATTTTTAACAATTCGATTAACCAAAACAGTTTAACACTAACAATTCGATTAATTAACATGTTAAAATATAACGGTTATATCGGTTAACGATTACGATTAATGATTACGTTTTTTTAACACCTCTACTTAATAGTGAGATATCAAAATATAAATAAATAACATTAAATATAATTTTTAAAAATAAGTGAACAAAAAAATTACAAGAATAAATTATTATCAAATATGAATTTTTCCCTTTATATATATATATAGAGAGAGAGAGTTCGGATCCACTTACACAATATAAAACTCTTTAGTTTTACACATATTTTGCACCGTCAAAATTATTATTTTTATATTACTATTTATATAATTTATAATTATTTATATTTTTATTATTGAATAATAATATATTCATTAAAACTCTTAACCCAATTAAAATTATTTTTAAAAAGCACGAACTCAGTGACCTTGGTGGTAAATGAATTGTTGTTATTCTTTGAGGTCTTGAGTTCGAGCACCAGCAATGCTGGGGGTACGAGTTGTCAATGTTAAATGGTTGAGAGTTATATTTGAACAATTATTATTATTGTATTTACTATATATTAATAAAAAATATTTTTTAAAAAATATTAATATTAACATAAATTATAATATTAAAATATAATTATTCATTTATGAAATAATATCATATAATAAAAGATTTAAAAATATAATCAAACCCTTAAAAAAAATAAAAGAGATGGCCAACGTGAGTTGGTTTAAGTGATAAGTAACTTAATATCGCTTAAGCAATGTCTCGAGTTTGAGTTATTGTGTATGCAGAAAATCTCTTCTGGGAGACTCACCCACCAAAATCAGGTGTACAACGTGGGTCGGTCCGGATTAGTCAAGACGATGCCTTGGAACCAGGAGGAAAACTTATAAAATCTAAGACTATAACTTGTTGTAAGAACATACAAAACATCTACGTAATATTTTTTAAAGAAAATAAAATACTTAAAATATATATTAAAAAAATTAGAGAATTTGGAATTTAAAAAGTGAATGAAAATATTTAAATTCAGTTATTTTAGTGGGACAAGATATTAAATCTTTTAAGTAAAGTTGGGGTTTTAAATTTTGGTATTTGTGAATGAAGCAAATTGATTGAAAGGGTCTTACTTTTGTAATATCGATCCGGATTAGTCGATTAATAAATAATATGTTGGTAGTTATAAAAAAATTTAAAAAAAACTAATTCTTAGACTGACAACGTCGACAATCAACTACATTTGCTAATTTTAATTAATAGAAGATAATAAACCTTACCCTTCTTTAAATATCAAATACAGATTTAGCAACTTCACATATAAATCATTTATTATACTACCTACGATTATTATTTATTAAAAAACTTTATAACTACACTCTAGCCTAATTTCCCCCCCCCCCCATATACAGAATATGCGACGAAAAAATAAATCTAAATGCTATCAAGGTCGTGGAATTTGATGCGATTCAAATTCATTTGATCGGACGACTAATTCGATTATAGTGTAGATCCATTGAACTGCTTCCATATTACTGTATAAGGGGAAACGCAGACGTGTGGAAACATCTGCAGTCTCCAAAAGTTGTACACTTGGACCCGTGTTCAAATGATCAGAAATAACGCTTTCGGGAAACTATTTCACATTTATATCCTCTCTCACCAATTCTCTGGTCCTGTTTGACTCTTTTATAACGTGTCCCAATTCAAAACATGCCGCCCCGTGTCTGTCACCCTGTTCTATTCGCGGATTTCATTTCCTATTATCTGTACTATATAACATTACTTTTTCTCATGCATATTCAGTCTTCACTTCACTAAGTCTACTACTAATATTTTCAAATTTACTTCAAAAAATCGTTTTGGGTATTCAGAATATTCAAAGCTAAAAAAATGGAGTATTTGGAGATTGTTTCTTCTTCCTTTTCTTCATGCAAGCCATTCAGCCCCGACTCAGAATTATCCTCCTCATCGTCATCAGCTGGCCATCCATTAATGGCTGTTTCGAGTTCTCATAAGAGAAAAGCTGGTAGAAAGAAGTTCAAGGAGACTCGTCATCCTGTATTTAGAGGTGTACGTCAAAGGAGAGGGAATAGATGGGTGTCCGAAATTCGTGAACCTTTCAAGAAATCAAGGATTTGGTTGGGCACTTTCCTTACCCCTGAAATGGCGGCTAGGGCTTACGACGCTGCCGTTTTAGCCCTCAGGGGCAAATCCGCCGCCCTAAATTTCCTTGACTCGGCTTCGGTCCTTCCAATGGCCAAGTCTTGTTCGCCTAAAGATATACAAATCGCTGCTTTTGCCGCCGCCGAGGCTTTTAAACCAACAATAAGTTCGACAAATATTGATCATCAACCGGTGGGACGCCCGTCGCCAAGCCGAGTTCCCAATGGGAATGATGAAGAAGAGAAGGTTTTAGAGCATTGGAGGAACTTGGAAATTACGAGTGCTAAAGATGATTATGAGTTCATGGACGAAGAGGCATTGTTTAACATGCCAGGTTTACTCCATAGCATGGCGGAGGGTTTGCTCCTCACTTCACCACCTCTGCAAACACAAGTTTACGATTACGATTACGATGGCAATATAACCCCCACCGTTGATATTGATTTATGGGGACATTACTTGTAAAAAATAATATTAGCTTTTCGTTCCACTCTCCTCTCGAATTTGAGTCATTGAGAAAAATGATTGTTTTAAACCATTAAAATCATATGATAATAGAATTAAGCTTATTCCTTAAAGAAGTCGACATTACAGGATTTGCATTAGTCTTAAATTGACTTTAATAAAACTTGACTTTTATTTTTTATATCGAATTAAATATTACCATATCCAACTTCTCCTAGTCTCTCCTCGTTGAATTCGATATTGTCTGCTAAAAGATTACGTTCTCTATTCATAGAAACTATAGATTCCTGAACTATCTCATGCTATCTATTTCAGTACTTTTATACTCACAAGTGAGTGAGAATCTTTCAATCACTTAAAAAAGAAACATTGTATAATTCAGTAACTCTATTTTTTTAAGATAAAATTTAAGTGGTAGTTTCATTGATAAAAAGATATGTTGCTTTTAGAAGATTTAAACTCAAATAATTATATGTACAAAATGTGTATATTTTGTCAATAAATTTAAAAAGATTATGAATATTTACAATCTTGTCATACTCTAGACTACTCGTAAAATTTATATTTCATGATATGAGCAAATATATGTAGATGCATATATGCAAACAACCATGATTTTTCATGGATATTATAATCAAATTCACGAAAAGATATTAAATAATAAATCAAATTTCAGTACCTAGTTTTTTTAAAAAATATATTAGCATACATCCAATGGCAAAACTTTCGAGATAATGTTATGAAATAAATTAATTCACGAGCTAATGCACTCCCAAGATTAATTGCTCAAATAGAGTGAAATCCACAGTGTTGTCCGTAGGTCGCCATGCCTTCCGGGCGACCTTGTAGGTCACCATGCACTCCGGGCGACCTACATACACTCCGGGTGACTTACCCTTGCTCAAACAGAGAGAATGAACGTGTTGCATGGCACATGCACGTCCCAACACATAGGTCGCCATGCCCTCCGGCACTCCGGGCGACCTACCCTCGCTCGGCTGCTCTCGGATTCCCTCGCATATCTCGCTCGGATGCCCTCGCATAGCTCGTTCGGATGGCCTCTGATGCTATCGGATAGCCTCGGTCGGATGGCCTCGGATGCCCAGCGTGTTGGGACGTGCATGGCACATGCTATCTCTTGTAGCTCGCGAGGAAGACATGGTGACCAAGTAGGTCGCCCAGAAGGCATGGCGACCTACGGCCAACACTGTGGATTTCACCTTATTTGAGCAATTAATCTTGGGAGTGTTTTATCTCGTGAATTAATTTTTTCTATAACATTATCTCGAAAGTTTTGCCTCACAAAAGCCTAGGTAAGGAATTAAAAAGCATTATTTTTACTCCATTATGTATATCTTTTAAAATATAGTCATACTCCATTATATTTACGTCCTATTATGAACTAGTTAATTTTCTATATTATATTTGTCTCATATAATTGTATTATACGTTCGTATTTAATATATTTGTCAGATAACCTTTATTTCTTGCTGCGGCCTGTCTTCCAGTTATTTGCATGACATAAAATTCTTCTTTAGGAATATCGAAAGCAGGGGAGAGAGTTCAAAAGCACCAATCTTGTTCAGTTTTCCACCATATTCATATTCATATTTAATATTATATATATATATACATTATATGCTTATGACAAGCCAAAAGAGAGACCCCATCCCTCTAGATCTTCGGATCTTCCTTTCTCTCTCATAAATCCCTCAAAAGAAACCAACTTTTGATTTAACATATCCATCATGTTATTTAGCTGAAATATGAGGGACATCGTTTCTTGTTTTAGTGAAAACGCAGTGAATGTTTCTCAATCCCCACGTTCTAGCTATTCAAGCAACGCTTGTATCTCTCCGACTCCAACTCTACTCCCTTCTGTCCAGAACTCAGTCGTCGTCCTTTGCAAGGTCATTCTTTCAACCCACAAGCAGGTCTTCATCAAACGCACTTGGTGTAAGAATCAAATCGGTCAAACCCTAAGCATAAACTTCAACGATGACCCTTCACCGTGTTTCAATCTCAGCACCAATTTGAGGTTCTTCAGGAAGATGAAAGGCAACAAAGCGGTCGAATCCGATCATTCAAACATGGAAATCTTTTGGGATCTTTCAGCTGCTAAATATAAGGCAGGACCTGAACCGGTTAACGGATTCTACGTCATTGTCATGGTTGATTCAGAGATAAGCCTTATGCTAGGTGATATGGCTGAAGAAGAAATCAACAAGAAGTTCAAAACGACAATCCCGGTGGCTATAACCTCCTTCATTTCTCGACATGAACATTGTTCAGGCAATACCCTTTATTCCACCAAGGCTCAATTCAACGAAACAGGCATTCCACATGAAATTTTGATAAGATGTAGCTGAGAACATGAAGGCCTAAAGCATCCGGTTTTATTGGTCTGCATCGATGACAAGACGGTGGTTCGGGTCAAGAGGCTGCAATGGAATTTCAGAGGAAACCAGACGATATTGGTTGATGGATTGTTAGTTGGTTTGATGTGGGATGTGCATGACTGGCTCTTCAATCCGGCTGCCGGTTCAGCGGTTTTCATGTTTAGGACAAGAAGTGAAGCTGATAGCCGGCTTTGGGTGGTGCAGAAAGATGAAGATAGAGTTGAATTCTCGTTTTTGTTTCATGCCTGTAAGAACGTATAAGAAACCGATTATTGTTCATGATTTGCTTTATTCTAAATGGAGTACTCTGAACAAAGCTTGAATTTGGCATCCTTGAAAGCGTCTGTCAGCAAAAGGATAGTAGTCCATTATGTCCAAGGAACCCCTTCCCCCTCTTTAGCAGTAACCATGGTCCCCTAGGTACTTTGGAATTAATAAGCGGTCCTCAAGCATTAGAAGCAAAACATTTGTCAAGGACCTTTGGGGTTCAGTTTAACTTGAAATGGCTCTAAAATTTTTGGCATTTAAGTTCCTTTATTCAGGCCCTTCATTGGACCATTGAAGCCAAGGAAATAAATGACATCCTTTGGCTGGTTCCATGGTTCCATATATAGAGGGGGGGGGGAAGATCCATACGTACCCTGTAAATTTTAAAATAGCGTTGCAAAATGTAATATATAATCACTATAAAAACTATGGAATGTTTCAGTCAACTACAAAAAAAAAAATAGTTACTCAAAGGCTTAATTAAAAAGTAAGTATTCAATTATTTAAGGACGAAATTAAACACATGGCATATGTTAAATGTGATGTCTCATATAATATTTTTTTAATGACTGTTATGGACCAAAGTAACATTTAAAATGTTAAATCCTTACTTTGAACGAATTTTTTTAAACATCTAAAGCGAACAAAAGAAAGTCGGGTACTAAAATGAAGATTATTTAAAATAAGAAGTATTATATATATTTTTTGAATAATTCTTACTTAAGAGATGAGGAAGTATAATTTTACTTTTAATGAGAATTGAACCCATAACCTATAAAAAGAGAAGATTATCTATTATAAAATTTTAACATTTACTCTAAAAATTATTGAAAAATACATTACATTTAAATACAAACAATGAAACCATATGTTACGGTCAAAAAATCATTATATAAACTTTATCCTAACGAAATTTATTGTTTAAGAAATAATTTATTAAATTTTGTTAGTTATATTTATTGTAATGAATTTTCATCGAGATAGCTACTCCTAATTATTGTCAAAAAGTGGTTAGTGAACGGACCCATCAGCTTGAACCATGATCTTATCAGAGAATCGAGTATTGGTGAAAGGAAACATGAAGAATCTTATAAAGGGTACTAAGTACTTGAATGAAAGCGATATTCCACTCAAAAAAAAAAAAAGAATGGCAGTCCATTGGATGTAGGCAAAACTTTCGAGATAATGTTCTGGAAAAAATTAATTCACGAGATAAAGCACTCCCAAGATTAATTGCTCAAATAAGGTGAAATCCACAGTGTTGGCCGTAGGTCGCCATGCCTTCCGGGCGACCTACTAGGTCGCCATGTCTTCCCCGCGAGCTACAAGAGATAGCATGTGCCATGCACGTCCCAACACGCTGGGCATCCGAGGCCATCTGACCGAGGCTATCCGAGAGCATCATAGGCCATCCAAGAGCATCTGAGGCCATCCGAACGAGCTATGCGAGGGCATCCGAGGGTAGCCGAGCGAGCTATGCGAGGGAATCCGAGGGCAGCCGAGCGAGGGTAGGTCGCCCGGAGTGCATGGGTCGCCCGGAGTGCACGACGACCTACAAGGTCGCCCGAAGGGCATGGCGACCTATGTGTTGGGACGTGCATGTGCCATGCAATACGTTCATTCTTTCTGTTTGAGCAAGGGTAGGTCGTCCGGAGTGCATGGCGACCTACAAGGTCGCCCGGAATGCATGACGACCTACGGCCAACACTGTGGATTTCACTCTATTTGAGCAATTAATCTTGGGAGTGCATTAGCTCGTGAATTAATTTCTTTCAGAACATTATCTCGAAAGTTTTGCCCTTTTGTGACTATGAATATTAATAAATATTACAGTAATTAAGTTGTAATTAAAATATCTCTTTAAATACAGAACTCTATGTTTATATAATGCATTTTGGAAAATAAAATGTCAATTAAATATGGTCACTGGTTCGTAATATTTTAGAAGATAAATAGCTTATGATTTGAGTGCTTTAAAAAAAGTTCAAGCCAAACACAGAAAAAGAAAAAGAATATGCACGTGGCTTGTGGGTTTTATGTTTTTAATCAAACTAACGTTTAGTTGTAATGAGAGGGAAAAAAAAGCCTCGAAGACAATGAATAAGGCTAAAAGGAAGAACTGAGAGGAAAAATTATTTGAGAAATAATATTGAGTGATAATCAAATACACAATTTTCTGAAAACCATTGAGTGATAATATCTTTTAACAAGTAGTTATGCTCAATAAATACATACCGTAGATTTTGCCATTGGAAATTATAAAAAGTAATAAAAAATTTGGATTCGTAATTATCCCAGCCTAAATATTGCAGAAGTTGTTACTGCATGCTTGTATGGTAAA